CCGAATCAAAAAAACGGATATCCGGATAAAATTTATCGGATAAACGGATGACGGATTGATCCGGATTGGAACTCTAATGCTTACAACGTATATTATAGAATTTATATACTTGAGTAAATCTATTCTAATTTAAAAGGATTTTATCTGGGTTACGCACAATATATATACGTATATATATATAGATAGATTTATATATTTATTCATTTGTATTTAAAATATCATCTAACGTCCAATTTGTTGTATTTTTAGCTTCATCTGAAATTTTTTTTACTTCGTTTGAAGTTAATTCTTCAATAGCATCAAAATTGATAAACTCTTCCAGAAATAAATCTGAATTATTTGGTAACGATTCTAAGTAAATTTCTTGAATATGATCAAATTCTAACTCATTATCTTCTTCATTCATTAAATCTATTAAATCAAAAGAAAATAATGTGTTATAATTATCCGAAATATTATTATTTTATTTTTTGGCTACTGATTTTTCATTTAAGCTTTTTTTAGAAATTTCTGCAGATAAAGTAAGATTTATTTGCGAAATCATTTTTAATGTAGATGTAGCTAATCGATTTCGAATTTTGGTTTTTGTCATACCCATATGTGAAAAAAGTCGCTCAACTTCAGCAGAATGAGGACGAATAGCAAATATCTTTAATGCTAGGTTTTTTAATGCCCCAGCTTGATGAGAAACCTTTTTCCAATATGCATGTGGTTTTAAAGTTGTTAAGTTAAAAGGTGGTTCATTATTATAATAGTCTAATAATAATTTTTGTGAAATTTGTAATGCTTGATCACGTGTAAAATTCCACATTTGCGCAAATGTCAATGCATAAACTATCATATTATTAAAGGTTAGTTTTTTAATATAGCGATTTTGCGAAATTTTGGATTTAAAAAAAATGCTAAATAATATATATATAGGTTCATCAAATTCTTTTGCTCGAAAATTAACTACATCTTTTGCATGCTCAACCAATCCATAATCAAAATCTTCATATTCACTTGATTTTAATTTTTTATAAATAAGTAATAATTCTGCAAATATATCACCTAAAGTTATATTATTAGATTCAAGTTTTGCAATTGCATCAACTACATATCGAAGAACAAGTGTGAATTGTTCATTTTCAAGAAAATGTCGACGACTTGTAATTATTTCTTTAATTTTAGTTGGAATAGATGAACATTCATTAGGAAAGTTAATGCTATATTCGAGACAATTTTGAAAGCCTCCTTCATGATTTTGAATTGAAAGACAAACTTTTTGAAAGTAAATACCATCGGGTTTCACAAAAAGTTTGTAGCTCATTTTTAATATTATTTTCTAAAGCCCATTGTTTTAATTTTGCATTTCAAAAATGTGAACTAGTAAAAAAATTTACTAATGCTAAATTTTTTTTAATTGTATTTTGATATTTTTGATAAGATGAAATTCCTTTCACAATTAAATTAAAAACATGTAAGCAGCATTTAATACCAATTGTATGTTTATATTTGTCTGAAATGTTTTTTCTAAGCCGTACTATAACTGAAGGACTATCTGTGACTATAGCAATAATTTTGTCAAAACTTATAGAGACATTTTTTAATGAGTCTTCTACTGCAACAAATAAATTATCTGCTGTATGTCGGATATTAGAAAAATTTTCGATATTAATAATTTCATTAATATCTTCAAATTTATGCAAAAGAAAAGCATATATAGAGTTATTAGATACATCTGACCATCCATCAAGCAAAAGAGTTAAATTGCATATTTCTCCAATTCAGTTAATCATTTTTACTAATATTTGTGCATATTCAGTTTGAATTATGCTATTTAACAATGTGTATCTTGATGGCAAATTATAGCTTAAACATAAATTTTTTAAAAATTGAATAAAGAATGGGTTTTCAACAAAACTAAATAGAATATTGCTATATACTAATGCATGTAACAATGAGGTATGTAATTCAGCAGCTTTTTCTGGTGGTACAACAGCTTTATCAAAATAATCTATCATTAAAACTGCTTTGTGAGTAGAAATTTCAGTAACTTGTTCGGATTTGTCTTTAATTACAGTCAGAATCATAAGTATCCCACCCCTTAACTTTTTAAATTAAAATGCTAGAGTTTTGAAATTTTTACTGTAAATAGTACTATATAAATGTAGATCAGATATAAATTTTTATAAAATTTTAATTACTACAAC